CGGAGCACAAAGAATGAATCCGACGGAGTTACGGCCTGGTCCGGCACGGTGGGGGTCAGCCATGTCTCCGTGAAGCACAGAATGTTGCAGTCCCTCATGTCACGTTGGAAGGTGACCCTTGCTCTTAGGTCATCGAGCTTGTTCTCTGTGGATTGTACATTGGCCAGTAGGATACTGGGCAGTGGTGCGCGATGCGCCTGCTGTCTCAGTCTGTTCCTAATACCAGCGCGTTTTCCCCGGCGCTTCTTTGTTCTGCGCCTCGGATGAGCGGCCCGTCCTTTGTTGTTCTCCGCGCCGCGTAGAATCTCTGGCGGCCAGGAAGGGTCAGGTTTAAAAGTGTCCAAGATTAGATGTGCAACCTTGGCACCGATGTTTACAAGTGATCCGCTGTCGTATACTATAAGACTAGAGGATTTTGGGATGTAAACCAGAGCAAAAAATAGGTAAAAAACAAGAAAAGTGGATAGTCGGAGCGGAGCGGTCAGGAAGGCGTCTGGACGTGGCCGCGCCATCTTGGTATGTCCATGTTATTATTGTGTGTTTGAGGGTACAGTTGTCCATTGTGGGTGTGTGTATGTCCAGTCCATGAGTTTAACGTGGGTCAGATGTCAGGAGTTCAGGAGTCTGACAGCTGTGGGGAAGAAGCTGTTCCGGTACCTGGTGGTCTTAGTCCGGAGGCTCCTGTAGCGCCTCCCAGAGGGCAGGAGGGTGAAGAGTCCATGTGATGGGTGACTGGGGTCTTTGATGATTTTCCCAGCCCTTTTCAGACACCGCTTCCTGTAGATGTCCTTTATGGCAGGAAGTGGTGCTTTAATGATTCACATTAAACAAAATTGGTAATCTGATGTTGAGTGGCAGCATTGCTGCCTAAAATTAAGACAATATTAAAATGTTTTACTACGGGCGCACAATTATTTTTGTTCCAATTTGTACATTTAGTTTAAATGGAAACAATGACATGCCGGTGCTGCAACACCAAGCCTGTCTGGCATAGATACATCTGCTGCGCGGTGGAGCCCCTTGCCCTCTTAAAACATCTGATAATCTGCATCTGTTCTCATCAAAAGAGAAAGCTAGTTTAACACATTTCTAAAAATCATACCTTTATGAATTTCATTAGGTCGTGAGCAGCATCTGATGTGCTAATTAGGGCTGGGCCATATTATACCGTTCACGGTAAAACCGGTATAATGTTAGGCAACGATAGGAAAATGAAATATCGCGATAGAATATGAGTAAAACGCGCATGCGCAGTGCCTTTGTTTTCATACGCACATGGCCGATTGTTGAGTGAAACAGATGAACCAGAATTGGTTTGTAAAAATGGTGCAACTTCAGTGAACCTAGAACCATAACCTAACAGCCTCCACATGTTCTCACTGTAATTTCCCCTCATGAATGAATTTATGCTGCACTAATGTGAAATTTTGCAGGGAAATCAAACGCATTTCACTCGCAGTACTCGAGCTGACTTACCTTTGTTTGAATGACGACTTGTATGCGCTGACTCCACAGATAAGGTCCGAAAATATGTCAGGCTACATCAGTAGCGGTTGGTCTTCAGGGTTTCTACTCCACGGCCGTATTTCATACAGGTCCACATTTCCAATGCACGCTATTTTGTGCAAGTACCGCTGCTTCCCCTCTGAACGAAATCGGTCTCTATACAGTCCATTCTCTTTTGAGCTGCTTTTAAGCATCTTGTAATCGTCGTTCCAACACAGTGTGTTTGTTTTGATTCGTAGACCCTGAAAATGCATTGCGGCGTGACGTCAACTCCAAAGTCCTATTCATCACTCATCCTACGTGTGAAACCTGCTGTGAGGACAATTAAAGTGCGGCCAGAGGGGACAGACGCAGTGCTCCAGGACAGATTTAAAAACACAGACTGGAATATGTTCACCCACACAGACCTGGACCAGTACGCCTCATCTGTACTGGATTACATCTCCAAAACCACAGATAGTGTCACAACCCAGAAACGGATCACCATGTACCCCAACCAGAAGCCTTGGATGAACCGGGATGTTCGTCTCCTCCTGGAGGCCCGCAACAACACCGCCTTTAGGTCAGGAGATGCACACGCCTACAGCACAGCCAGGGCTAATCTAAAGAAGGGCATCAAAAAAGCCAAACACCATTATAAAAAGAAGGTAGATTTTTATGCTCGTTTTGAGCGGGGGAACCAAACAACTACAACCAAAGCAGACATGACACCACCAACTTCATACTGTGTACATTATAACATACCATAATAGACCCATTTCTGTAATATACTCACATATCTATATTACTGCTAATATATATTTGTAATATATCTATATCATGGCTAAAGCACTTCTGGATGGATGCAAACTGCATTTCGTTGCCTTTTACCTGTGCATGTGCAATGACAATAAAGTTGAATTCTATTTTATTTTTTTCTATTCTATTCTATAAATGGCCCCTAGAGGGAGATGTTGGACCTAAAATACTGACATTGATACAAGCAGATAATCAGTGACACTTCCGCAATTTCTTTTGGCATGATGAGCATGTGCTGTTCCTAATAAAATGGCTGTTTACTTGATTTCAAAAATATGAACAATGGACTCTTTGACTGTGGAGTTCATTCCACTTTCTGACCAGGTTGTAATACTTCTACGATAAATTGTTTATTCCATAGTACACTGAACATATTTCACAAACACAATCAGCAGTAAAAAGTACTGCTATGCAAATCTTAAGTATCGTTAAGTAATGGACAAAGTCCTGGAAAATGAAAAATAAATCGCCAGAGTGTAAACAGGGGCCTGTTCTTCGTACCTCGCTAAGTAAGTTAGCTGGATTAGATTGTTGACGATTTCGCGTGATCTTGGATCGTTCGGTTCCCCGAAGCTCATCCGGGACTTGCTGTCATAGCAACAGAGCCGTAAGCGTAAACCTGCTCGGGAGCAGGTTTACTTTATGTAAACAGGATTAGATCGCGGCCACGCAGGTATGTCCGCTTCATTTATACGAAAGCAACAGCGATAAATAAATAACATCAATGTAACTGAAGATAATGCAGCACTTGATCCTTTTATTGATGTCACACAGATACATACAGGTCATTTCCTAAAAAGGGAAATGTACTATTATCATTCTATTACATGTATGTGATTATTACAGATGTAATTCATATTTCAGAGTAGTAATTGTAAATTACTTCGTGTAATCAAGATGAGAGACCACGGCTATAAAAGCGAAGGTGGATTTGGGAAGCCTGTCGCAGCCATGTCCTGTCCGTTTACGCGAGCAACCCATTGCGGAAGGTGCAAGATTGATAAGGAGAGTCCTCAGAATTCAGCGTATATTGCGGAATAGACAGGATCCTTTAGCTCAGCGCGACAGTGTGCTCATTGAGAGATATCGATTTTCCCGTGAGGATATTATTTACTTAACCAACTTGTTGACGAGGGGGTGCAGGACCACCACCTGTCTTTTTTTGCTCTGCCCTTTTCTTGGTTGCTGTTATAAACAAACAAAAAGATTATTTCATGGTCTCTTTCCAAGAGACGAAAAGCAATATAAGTGATAAATATTACCATTCTGTAGAATATTCTTATATTTCACTTTTACTTGTTCCCATGTTCTAGTGGGTCCTGTTGTGGCTCTAATGTGAAAGAGGATATAATATAACAATATAATATAATGTAATATAATATTGGATAATATAGTGTAATATAATAAATCTACCCTACCACCTACTGGTGTTGGCCAGAGGGGCCGATGGCGCGATATGGCAGCCTGGCTTCTGTCAGTCTGCCCAGGGCAGCTGTGGCTACAACCGTAGCTGCCTCCACCAGTGTGTGAATGTGAGAGTGAATGAATAGTGGCATTGTAAAGCGCTTTGGGTGCCTTGAAAAGCGCTATATCAATCCACTCCATTAGTATTATTATTAAATTACTTACGAGTTTAATTTGTCAGCAACTTTCTGCCAGCCCTCTCTCCTTGCTTTTGCAGCCTTTGCAGTGTTCCCTTGCGTTCTGGTTAAACTCTGAAACTCCTGAAATCCCTCACTCAAGAGTTCTTGCTCTGCTGCCGAAAAATACCGAGCCGAGCGCACTCCTTCGACATTTTCGCCGACCAATCAGAGGGTTGCCGATCAATGTTTCTACTATCGATGCGTAGCCCCTTTTACGACACCCAGTGATGTCACATTACTGCGTCCAGCTGTACTAATCGTCAACGGAAGGTGTGTTCGGAGAACCGGATTAGCGAGCTCACGGTTAGCGCGATGGTTTGATCTTGGATGTGTCATTTGATCTTGGATGTAGTGAGCGACGTACGAAGAACGGGCCCCTGGTCTTGAAATGTTCAAGTTAAAGTAACAGACTTTCTCATGCAAGAAAGAGTTAAAAAGTTAGTGGGGTTTGGCTAATTGATAGATTTAAATTGCTCGTAATTGTAAATGTGAGCGTGACTGGTTGTCTGTCTGTGTTGGCCCTGCGTCAGGCTGGCAACCTGTCCAGGCTGCACACTTCCCCTCGCCCAGTGGTAGCTGGGACAGGTTCCAGCCCCACCTCCTGTGGCCATGACAAGAATAAGTAGAAGAGGATGGATGGTGTTTTGGAAAATTTAACAATAACCTGCAACACACCCAGTGAGCTTGATTTGAAGTGGGTTTAATAAACAGACTGCAATGTGGAGAGAGCATCCCAGTGAAACACCAGCACCATCTCTGAACTGTGGCCACCGCCCTTACATCTTATATACAGACAAAGAACATTCCACAAACGGTTACACGTTGGCCCCTCTCACATTGTTATGTTTTTAGCATCTCCCGTTACAATGGACTCAGTGTAGAGCTCTGTAGTGAACATGCATACAACTAAGTGAGAAAGTTAATAATGTGAAATAATTTAAATATGTGATTAATACAACAGAAAAGAAATCTGCTTCCACAATGGAAGGAAGATTTAAAGCTTCAAGGATCCAACTTGAAGCTTTAAATCTTCCTTCCAGGAAACGTCTGACTCTGGGGCCACATTTAACACATTTTTTATCTTTAGTTTTATGATAGTGTACACTGTAATACTCTGACTGACAAAGGGATCCTGAACACCATCAGCAGCACATAGGCACAAGAGCCAGTTCTTTAAAAGTGTGGATTAACAGAGAGACAGGGACAGAGATGTAATCCTTCATCATACTGTAAAAAGTGCTGTATAGCTCTAATTTCAGAGAGTGTTCCATAACTAATAATTTTTCTAACAGCAAAGAATCCATTCACTCAATAATCTCACTCATAGTGTCCTCAGGGGTTAATAAAGTATTCTGATTCTGATCTACACAAACATAATACAAATGGAATAAACCAAAACATTTCCCAAACAAAAATAATGAAGTTACATAAAACATTATTTTAGAAGAAAAATGATTTTTCTCCCAATTCATAATTACTGGTAAACATGGCATAACCAAAAAGTAACCTCAACAACAACGCCTGTGGATTAATAAATATTTTTAATGCTGAAGTAATGCTTTTGTGTTCAGAGGGCCTTTTAGTAATGCTAAAAAAATAACTAAATCATATTATTTTTTGGTTGATTAAGATGCTAACTTATAGTGATTTACTTGTATTCCTGAGCAAAAATAAATTTCTGAGCAGGAGACTCAGAGTTCATCTGGAAAAAACTCTGAGACATTTCAAACAGGCTGCAGTTCAACAGGAGGCTGGTATAAATCCTGACTCTGCTTAAGTATTCTGTAGATCAAAAATCCAACAACAGCCACAACAAGCAGCACAGCAGAAACTGACAGACCGACTATCAGGCCAACAGATCCAGCCTCCTTCCCTCCTGCCTCCTTCCCTCCATCTTTGTTCCCTCCTGATTGACCTGCAGGTAAGAAACAGGTAGGATGTGTTCAGAAAAAACAAGCATAAAAACAGGAATAGAATATCCCTTTATTTGTTGTTGTACATGTACCACGAAATTGTGGGTGCTACACACCAATTGTGCTGGAATAAAATATAAATAGCAGACAGTAAGAATATATACAACAATAAGGGGAAGATACATATTAGAGAGCAAAATAGTTGTAAAGTCCTTCAAAGTATTGCAAAGAAAATACTTTTTTCCTGACCAAGATGGCGCCGCGTATGGATGCCCTGGTACTTCAGTACACTACTTCTGTTTTGTTTTTGTGCATAACTTGTGTGTCTGGGCACTCCGCTGGATATTCTTACAACAGAGAAGAGCTTCTTAACCACAGGACTACAACACCTGTGGATTTACTTCCAATATTTGTCACATCTGCGGCAGATTTATGACAGACTTTGATCAGGAAAGTGAGACACCGAAGGAGAGGAAAGCGAGCCGGCGCACTCGTGCGTCTGAGGAGACGCGGACTGCGAACTGCTCTTCCTGGGATCTTCCTTTCTAATGTACGCTCACTCAGGAATAAGACAGACGAAATGGCCCTGATGAGAAGCATGAACAGAGACTTTGCCTCCTCCTGTGTCTTATGTTTCACGGAGTCGTGGCTCTGTGAGGACATCTGCACGCTCAAGCTGGAGGGCTTTCATCTGCTGCGCGCGGACCGGCAGGCCTCTCTCTGTGGTAAGACTACAGGTGGAGGTGTCTGCTTCTACATCAATAGTGGCTGGTGCACAGATGTAACAGTGATTGCTCAGCACTGCTCTCCCTCTCTGGAATACCTTTTTATTCACTGCAAACCGTTTTATTCTCCGCGGAAGTTTGCTTCATTCATCCTGGCCGCTGTTTACATCCCGCCAGATGCAGATGCGCAGGCAGCTCAGTGCACACTCGCGGAGCAGATACTGCACATGGAGCGGACATTCCCGGACTCTCTCATCATTGCTCTTGGGGACTTTAACAAAGCCAATTTGAGCCATGAGCTTCCGAAATATAAGCAGCATATTAAATGCCCGACCAGAGAGGAGAGGACATTAGACCACTGTTACAGCACGATCAGCAGGGCCTATCGCGCGGTGCCCCGCGCTTCACTCGGACTTTCTGACCACGTCATGATCCACCTGATCCCCGCGTACAGACAGAGGCTGAATCTCTCCAAACCTGTCGTGAGGACTAAAAAACTGTGGAGCAACGAGGCTGTGGAGGAGCTTCGAGCGTGTTTGGAGTCTACAGACTGGGACACAATGAAGGCTGCTTCTAACAGCTTGGACGAGTTTACGGACACTGTCACCTCCTATATCCACTTCTGTGAGGACAGCATTGTGCCATCACGCACCAGGATGAGTTATAACAATGACAAACCCTGGTTTACTCCTAAACTCAAAAAGCTGTGGCTGGAAAAGAGAAAGGCGTTCTGGCCCAGCGGAGACAGGGACTGCTACAGAGAGGCCAAGTACAGGTTCACTCCCACTGGGTTTAAATCTGGGACTCTCCACCATTTGACCTTAGAACTGAAGAAGCTTCTCGGATGAGAGGTGAAACGTCTTCAAGCAACTTAAAGAAGTCCAGACGCTTTGCTTTGCAAGCTCCTTTGACTACGATGACCTGGATGACTGAGAACCTTCACAGACATCTGACTGTTCCCACCACTAACACATGACCCTACACTGTGTTCACTGCATCATTCCATGTTTGGCACTGATCACCACCTGCACTCATGTATATATCTATCTACTTAGCACTTGTAATTTTAATTTTTATGTTTATTTAAGCATTATCTGACAGTATGTTTTGCACTAAGTACTGCAGCAATGTCCTAATGTTGTAAACCTGCTCAACATTTGGCAATAAAACCCTTTCTGATTCTGAATAGTCCATGTCTGACCTGAGTTATGGGGGTTACTCAGACAAGAGGATCTGGCGATGGTCTCCAGAGGTGGCAGAGGGCAGCCAATGATTTTTTGGGCAGTGATAATAACCCTCTGCACAAACTTGCTGTTCTTCCTATGGGTCCAGGTGGGTTGTTGTACAGTCATAGGTGTACACCTTTTTTGCGCCACGGACCGGTTTATGCCCGACAATATTTTCACGGATCGGCCTTTAAGGTGTCGCGGATAAATACAAAAAAAGAAAACTATTACCGAAAAAAAGAAAATTTATTCATAACACACGTGGAAAAGACCAACGAAAACCGAGTAAACGATAAAAACGATAACAAAATAACGCTGAAAACCAATAAAAACCCTGAAAACTATACATTTCAATGAACAAATGTGAATAAATAGAACTGAAAAGAATCAAACTGATGATACCTTTGCACAAAAGTATTTTCATCAAGATGGATGAAGACAGATTGACTCTTACTTTTCCAAGATGAACGTGAAGAAAATCATGAGCTTTCCTGCCTCCTGTGGTTTAAAATCACGTGTGAACTTGTGATATCGCGAGTCTTTAAGGCAGCTAACCACTCTTATTAGATTTTATCATGTCATATCAACAAGAATAAATTCAAGAGGTATTAAGTTGGTAAATTTTATGTAGATCTTATATGATTTTATTACATTCACCTTAGAAACAAACATTTATTTTGTTTGAATTACATGTTTGAGTCCTGTAAATGCGATAACCTTGACTTCATCTACTTTTTCTCAGGTAAGTGTGAGCGAGAGTCTACAGCTTTCTACCCCCAAGTCTAATCCCTTTACTTTCAGGGCCATGTCCACTTAATACTACACTGTATGGTTATATGGCATTTTAGTTCATATAAAGCATAACATTGAGACACTTCAAATGATTTCATCTGAACAGTATTCATGAGTTCTTTACGAAACTGTCTGTTCATTTTGAGTCTACGTTCATGCCTGTTTCCATCTGTTTCACACAGTGGAAGTGGCCTCAGTTTAGTGGTGATGTTGTAACTATGTGTGGTTAATGCCTCAACTCTGTGGTGTGCAGACAATCATAGACAACCAATTATTTATATTTTAGAGATTATGTTTATTATGTGGATATGAACAGAATGTTCTGGTCTGGCAGACACATTATACAAGAACAGCAGGTTTTAGTAGCACAGAAGCTGAATGTCATTTCAAAATTCAAAAGAACAAATCAACTTGTAGCTCTTCTTATTAAATAGGCAGTAATTTAACATGCTTGTTTCATATAGCAGGCACAAAGATGTTAATACACAAAACTGTGTACAGTGTTGTGCTCAATAACCCACATATCTCATGAACTGCCAGATATTCAGCTCTGTCATTTATCTCCTACCTCTGAGAGGCGCTACTGAGCTTCCACAGATCACAGGTTGTAATAATATCAGGTTAAATGTATAAATGTTCACACCGTTACATTCAAGGTGAGATCAAATCTGCACACATTCAAACAGCAGGTCAGGAAACTTTTACAGCGACAGGAAACAAAGACAAACATTGAAGAGTAACACGTGTAAAACTTTATCAGTAAACAAACTGGTATAAAGATAAAATAATAAATAATCTTGACTGACGTGTTTAAACTGAAGAGTTTCCTTCATGGAGGAACAAGTTAAGGCTTCATAGATCAGAGGAAACATGTGACTCTGCAGCTCCATGTAACACATTTCTCTTTGGTTTCATAATAATATCAGATTATTCAGTCACTCAGTTCTAGCTGATAAATGGACCCTGAGCACTTTGTGTTGTGTTTGTGTTGTCAGTCAGTGTCTGTAATTATTGTGTAACATCTAAACACGAGGATCAGTCTGAGTCTGACCTCACAAACAGCTGAACCTGAAGATGACACAAACTCACTGATTCTGATATTGTGACAGAGACGACGCTGAATTCATCACTGTGAACAAACTTATTTCTGTTGAGATCAGAGACAAAGATGTTTGTCACATAAAATGGTTTTTGTTGTTGAATATCACTGATCTTATTCTCAGATATGTAACTTTTCTTTGTTTGAATGATGAAGTCCTGAATGTTCCACATATAAATAAGGCAAAAGTGTAAATAACACTGTTTAAGAACATAAACTCTTCCACTGAGATGAGCGACTAACCTGGAAGCTAAAACAAACTAATAACTAATACTGATGCACGCAAGCAAACAAAAACAGGAACTTCAAATCTCTGAGAGCTGACTGATGTCATCTGAATGTTTAATAACACTAAATGAAGTCTGGCTCAGCAGGAGACTCAGACTCCAGGAGTTCAGCTGTAAAAACTCACGTTTCAAACAGACTACAATTCAGCAGGTTGATGGTGCGGATCCTGACTCTTTGTTTTTTCATGTTTTCTGTAGATCAAAAATCCACCAACAGCAGCAACAAGAAGAAGAACAGCAGAAACTGACAGACCAACTTTCAGTCCAACATATCCAGCCTCCTTCCCTCCAGCCTCCTTCCCTCCAGCCTCCTTCCCTCCAGCCTCCTTCCCTCCAGCCTCCTTCCCTCCAGCCTCCTTCCCTCCAGCCTCCTTCCCTCCAGCCTCCTTCCCTCCAGCCTCCTTCCCTCCAGCCTCCTCTACTCCAGCCTCCTTCCCTCCAGCCTCCTTCCCTCCACTTTGTCCTCCTGGCTGACCTGCAGGTGAGAAACAGGTGTGAGGTGTCAGCTGTCAGGTAGGTGATGAGTGAAGAACAGAACAGAATCCATTTCCTCTTCAAACTGCTGTCAGACATTATCTACTGCACTCTGATCACATCACTCAGACCAGCTGCTTTCTACAAAGTCTCATCAACAACATCTTTAGAAACAAACATCAACAACCAGGAAGCAGCTTCACCTCTGGTCACACACACTCAACTCTACTCACTCACCTGGAGGATCAACATGAAGGTAGGTGGTGTTGATGAGCTTAAACGGTTGTCTGACTCCCAGGATGACACGACACTCGTATGTTCCAGCGTCATTAATCATCACATCCTTCATAATCAAAGACATGTCTCCATCCTTCATCTCTTTGTCCTGCAGATCCACCCGGTTCTTAAAAGATGGATGCTGGTTATGTTTAAAATCGCTCATCCTTGTACAAAAGCACATATTCATCTCTCAGGTCAGCTCTGCTCCATTTTACAACACTGATGGAATTATTATTTAGAGCTCGCCATGTCAGAGTGACCTTCTGTCCAGACTCAGCTGTGATGATTTTCTGGTCTGAAAGAGGAAACAACACAGAGCAGATTGAAGTGAGACGCTGGAACTGACTGCAGGTCAGATTTGAAAGAAGCCCTCCCACTCTCAGCTTCATACAGCAAAGGGACTGTTACTCATATAACCACACACACACACACACACACACACACACACACAATGTGACAATAAAAGTGATTTGATTTGAAGTACCATTTTCTATATCCCCCGATTTAGCGTTAGCTCAGAACTCAATATCCTCCAACTTATAATCAGTAAACAACAAGCAAGGACACAGCTTCTCCGCTCTGATCGCTCACCTGGAGGAACAACACTCAGGTAGACACTGGTGATGAGACTTAAAATTTCTCTCCGTCTCTGAACTCGACACTCGTATGTTCCATTGTCATTAATCGTCACATTCTTCAGAATCAAAGACACGTCTCCATCCTTCATCTGTCTGTCCTTCAGATCCACCCGGTTCTTAAAAGATGGATGCTGACCATCAGGATCAAACTGCCCATTTTGTTGCAAAAGAACATGTTGTGGCTCCAGGTCAGCTCTGCTCCACTCTACAACTATGATCTTTTTGTTGTCGTTTGTAACTCCACATGTCAGAGTCACGTCCTGTCCAGACTCAGCTGTGATGATTGTCTGGTCTGAAAGAGGAAACAACACAGAGCAGAGAGGTTAAAGGTCAAAGTACAATCTTACGCTTCTGCAGATGAGCCCAGGTTGTGGGATAGATGGGCCTTCTTCCTCCCTCCATGGCATTCTCAGCTCACACTCAACAGCCTGGCATCCCTTTTCACATCAAGCTGTCAATCATCTAACAATACTTGTGAACAAGTTCAAGCTCTAAACACTCCACTTCATGGGGATTTCTGCTTCCAACTTACCTGCTTGCTTTCCCAGGACTCTCTCCTCTATGAACAAACTGGTAAAAATGACACAACAGAAAGGGGAAATAATAACAGTGTCACGATCTGCAGAGGCAGACCGTGTGGAGATGTGTGTGGTGGACCCAGGTGCGAACACAAGCGAGAATGAAGGAGTAGATTTAAACAAAAGCGAGCCTTTTATTGTGGCTGATTGAAAGGAACGAACAAGAATGAGGGCAGCACAAGAGCAGAAGCTCAACAGAAATCTAAACTGGACACAAACTATGAAAAGGCTATGGCTGAGGATACGAAACACAGACGACGCAACACAGACTGTATGAAACACAGAGACTAAATACACATGAGGGATGATCAGGGGAAGTGGCCACACATGGGAGCACAGCTGACACACATGAACTTAACGACAGGACAGGAGGAGTGAAACTGAATACACTGACAGTGAATACAGGCTTTCAAAGTAAAACAGGAAACATGGAGATTAGACATGACACATGAACCGGGGAGACGTAGTACAGGAAGATGACATAACTGACAGCATGACCTTGACAATACAAGACACACAGACATAAACACACACGAAGGGCAAGGGAGACTTAATATATACAACTGGCTGGACTACCTAGTGAACCTAAACAAACCATAAACGATAATCATCAAAATAGGTTAAACACAAAACACTGGGTCGCACGACCCAGGACCATGACAAACAGATAATTATAACGATTCATCCCAAATGATATCTAATGACTTCCCTTTTTTAAATCCCAATAATCCCACAATATGTGAACAGCAGACTGAAGGATCTCCATCGTGGTTCAGAAAGTAGGATGCGCCACGCCCTCCATGAGATGTAATCAACCCATCACTACCACTGTACTGTAGAATTAAATGTGTAAAATTACAGAAACATTTCTAGTAGTTCATTATCACTTCCCAGTTTTATTAATAACTGTGTTTTTAAGAAAAAAAAACCCCCAGAAATTTCTATTTTAGAAAATGAAAAACTGAAACTTTTCTGAGTTGAAAGTCCTAAATATCCATTTGTTTCTGGTGATCAAACAAGTTACAAATCTTGAATTATAATCATAAATGCCATCAATTGCACATTCAGGCCTGTGAGACTCATGTAGACACTCATGCTACACACACACAACTCTGCATCTCTAGCATTCAAACACACTTTGTAGACTTTATGTAATGAACTGTATATTTGGTCTTTTTCAAGGAAGAAATTTTCAATAATTGTTTTCACAAAAGCCAAACTTTTATGCATTTACTACTACTCAGGAAAACACACATGATCAGAGTCTGTCTTTGCTCAGGATTGGTCGCATGGTGTGCCCATCAAAATAAAGACCAATCAGTACACACTGCTGATTGTAAGCTTATATAAAATAATATATACATTTTCTAGCTGTATACCGATTCCTGATACTCACACTGACACACACATTACACTTCTTTGTGTCTGTCACTGCTGGGTTACAGCCACTGACCACCCAGCCTCATGTCACCTTCACACACACAAACTGAATCAATATGAAAATAACTCTTTAAATATTGTTAATAATTTAACCAAAGTCATATTCAGTTTGTTTTATAACAGTTAAATCTCACCTGCAGAGACGAACACGACAAACATCAGCGTGGAGCAGAGCGACGCAGTTACAGCAGACATGTCCGTGTTCTTGTTTCTGCTGATCTGACTCTTAGTTTGTTCTAAATGTCTGAGTCTGTTGGTATTTTCACTGAATAACTGAACCTGAGTTTAAACCTGACTACATCAGATTACATTTACAGTTTAAATAAAACTAAAGCTGCGGTTCAAACTCTTCCGTGTCTCGTGAGGACGTGGCGTTTGTGACGTTTGGTAGGTTAAACTGAGGATGAGCAGAAATAAGTGCATCACAACAAACGAGGCAAAGTGGAAAAGTTTTAGTGTTCGGTTGTTGAACGATCTCCACAGAAACAAATTCTAACCTGCTTCACGTGTCAGTCGTCATGTATGAACACTTTTTTGTCTTTGAAGCAGAAGTTTGTTTTGTCTCTGCACCGAGTTTGTTTCCCACAGCAAGTTTCAAGCTCACATTCTGCTCCATCTCTTCCTGCTACGATTTAGGCTTCAGCTTACTTATCAAACAACACCGCGACATAACTCTGACTAACCTGCCAACCAGCAGCAACCTGCACCAGTTTACAAAACCAGTAGCCTGTGTAAATCACCAGTTCATCCAGTGCTGTCCGATTAAAGAACAAAGACTCATCAGTTTTAGAATTTGAGGCTTTCTGTTAAATTTTCTCTTCACATTATCCATTAAGGTAAATTGTAAACTGAAACGTTTTTTAGCTTAAAAGAGTGAACGTGAGTTTTAGAAAAAGAAAGAAAACACTTACTGTTGTTCTGAAGGACGTCTGGAACTCTCAAAAATACTTTGTAGGTGAGCTCTACTCCATCACCACGTTGAACCAATTGACTCTTGCTCCGCTTTGACATCCTGTTTTACAGACACGTCTGCTTAGCAAAACCATCACACCTACACTTAACCACATACATGTAACAACGTAACAAGGGGTTTTACAGTGACAGGAAATGAACACGAAAATAGGTCAAGGTGTAGAGAAAACCTTCCACTCTGTCTGTCAGTAAATTCAAATAAACTTATTCTAATGAATAAAGTCAAAGGTCCTTTAGAGCTGTTCTGAAGAACTTTGTCCACCTTTGATTGTCTTTAAGTTGTGTTGGAGCCACAGAGAGCAAATCTTTGTTCTTCATGGAGAACCAGTGAGGCTGTTTGGACTTTCCTATGAAACATCAGTGCAGGAGTCTCTCAGTACATCTGTTTACAGTGAGGACAAAGAAGCAGCAGAAACAGAGAAAACATGTAGAGACAGGCAGCAGCAAATAGTCTGCAGAGAGAGCGAGCATGCATCAGGTGCAGCACTTCCTGGAAATCAAGTGACTGCAATCATCTAAAAGGCCGGAAGCTCATTTTAAACACTTACTGTTGTTCTGAAGCATCTCTGAAACCTTCAAACACTCTTCTGATCATCAGGATAGAACAAAAATCCACTTAAAGATAAAGAAAGTGATCTGTACATCCCATCTACTTTTCAGTAGATCAAAAGTAACTTACTGAAGTTTTATTCCACACAAGGAAAAAGCTTTTCAAAAATGAAATAGTTCAAAAATGTTTTTGAAGAAGTAACAAGTTCAAATCTTGTTGTAGCACAAACTGACAGACCAACTTTCAGTCCAACAGGTCCATCCTCTGTGTCTCCTCCTGGCTGACCTGCAGGTGAGAAACAGGTGTGAGGTGTCAGCTGTCAGGTAGGTGATGAGTGAAGAACAGAACAGAATCCATTTCCTCTTCAAACTGCTGTCAGACATTATCTACTGCACTCTGATCACATCACTCAGACCAGCTGCTTTCTACAAAGTCTCATCAACAACATCTTTAGAAACAAACATCAACAACCAGGAAGCAGCTTCACCTCTGATCACACACACACTCAACTCTACTCACTCACCTGGAGGTACGACTTTCAGTGTGACGATACTGATGGGTTCACCAACTAGATTAGCTCTCTTTCTCACGTTTGTTCCTCTAATGAAGGCCTCACACTCGTATGTCCCAGCATCATTAATCATCACATCCTTCAGAATCAAAGACGCGTCTCCATCCTTCATCTGTCTGTCCTGCAGATCCACCCAGTTCTTAAAAGATGGATGCTGGTCATCTGAGTGAACGTGTCCGTCCAGGTACAAAAGCACATCATTTTTTCCCAGGTCAGCTCGGCTCCACTCTACCCTCACGATGTTGTTGTTTGAAGCTCGACATGTCAGAGTCACGTTCTGTCCAGACTCAGCTGTGATGGTTTTTCTCATCTGAAAGAGGAAACAACGCAGATTAGACAGGTAACTGTCAAAGTACAGCTGTTCACTTCTACAGCAGCCAATTAGAAACACACACAGTATTTAATGTTAACATTTATAAAAGTACAGTATATTAAAAACTCAAGTCTTAGGGAAACATTTTTACTATGCAACTCAAAGTTAAATCTCACCTGCAGAGACGAACAGGACAAACATCAGTGTGGAGCAGAGTGACATAATTACAGCAGACACGGTGTACCCCGCCTTTCGGCCTATGACAGCTGGGATAGGCTCCAGTGTCCCCCCGCAGCTCTAAAAAGGATAAGCGGAAGCAAATGGATGGAATATTTTATGTTCTAACTTTATCGTCTTCAGTTATTGATCTGATCTTTTGTGCTTTTTAGTTTTTGTCTGTTTTATTTTGTTCTGTTATTCCTTGTCTCTTGGGTCTAGTTCTGCTTCCTGTGTCTCATCATCTGTGATGAGACACAGGAAAACATGCTCCCACATGTTTTCCTGTGTATACATGTTGTCTCATTTTTCTCTTGCTCTTTGTTGTGCTCTCCCTCATGGCTGTGTTCCATGAAGATTATAATTAACCTTCATGTGACACTAACCTAGTTAAGATAGAGAGGAGTAGATGATGTCTTGGAGTGTGTGGGACATTCACTTTTCTGTGTCCACACTGTGTTGGTGTGACACTCAAGAGCGACATGTGTTGGATTAAAAAAATAAAAAAAATCACTGCAGATAACCTGGATAAAGACTGAACATAACTAGCTGCATAACCAGCTTATAATAGAATTATAACTGAATGAAGGGTAGTGTATGTATTTCAGGTCATTTGATTATAACAAAATATTATGACTGACTAATCATAATTTAACTAATCACAAATACGGTATCTCAAATGTAGACTTTTAAACTTTGTTTCACTTTAGTATAAGTGAAAAATGTTACATAAAAGGTAAAGGTTTTGTTTATAAAGTAAAGTGCTCGTGACAGTGGTGTGTGCTTAACTGCTTGTAATATAGGGGGAAATACACATTTATCTAGATAAAAAATATTAATTTACCCTAATATGATATCAAAACAATCTCAGACTGGAGAAAATGTCCTTTTTTCTCTGCTACAACAGAACCTGTTGTAGTGCCTCATGTCCTCCCCTCAGCATAAATGCAAATGAGTCAAAAAGTTAGGCTTCAGAATTTGGCGCCTCTACACCACAAGACACAGCAGCTGTGCCGGTCACATGATTTCTCTTAAAGCGATACACGCGTCAATGTGAGGTTTCACTCATAGTGTCTGAAAAACACACTATTAGTGATGCTTCATTATTGTTTGATCCATCACTAATTTGTCCTTTTGACATGCATTATTTTGTACTTTGGTTAGCACTAGTGAACCAGTGTTGAACCGCTTTCTAAGTGTTGCGGGAATTGCCGTCTTGTGTGTGGCTGGGTGCAGTAAGGAGTGTGTGTGAGCATGCGCGTGAAGGAAACGCGGGGAGCGGAAGAAAAAGAGAGAGAGAGAGGCTGTGTTCAGGGTCTGCAGCCTTAAAGGCTGCATTTTAAGTGCGGTTACGTCACCGCCACGCGACGAAGGCTGTCCCAATTCAAAGGCTGCTCGAAATGCGGCCCTCAAATGCGTCCTTCATTTCCCTGAATTTTAAGGATGTGGCGGTGTAGACTTCGTGGCCCAACATATCCCACAATGCATAGCGCAGCGGTGGGTGTGGATAATTTTGCCGAAAAAAAAAAGAAGAGTAAACTTTAAGTACTGAATATTATTGTAACCGAGGACAAAGGATGAGTAAACGGGCAAAGAAATAAATTGATCGTTTATTTATTACATAAATTAGACATAATAATTCCCAGTCATTTCCAGACAGGACTTACAACACATCCTGCTGATATCCCAGCTGCACATGAGACTTACCACACAAACTGTGTGAAAATAACACTGCAACCCGTCACACCCCGCTTAGCGACACTGCAATCGTGGCACACACTGCAAACAATTCGGGTCTCAGCGCAGCTGGGAATCAGTGCTATGTATGGCCTGTGATCTGGGAGAAAAAGGGAAGTGGCACAAACAATTAAACAAAAAAACAAAAACAAAAGGGAGGTTAGTCCGCCCTTACACAACTTACTCTCAATCAATAACCACCTTTACGGCTGGACGGACTAACCAAAACAAAATTACAAATCAATCAAAAGAACGAAAAAAAGGACAGCAGAGACAGCACAGCTGAAAAACAAACAACATTATCAATTAAAATATTACCCAATAAAATAGCAATTTTATGAAACCATTCAAAATCATGAAGCTAAAACAAACACTCAATATACCTACAATATTGATCAGTTTCCCTGCGCGCAGTCGATCTAGGGCTTGATCAATTCTTCTATTAAAATTCGTGGTCACACTAAAAAAGTCCAATGACACATTAAAAATAGGCACAAACAATAGCAAAAGATCCAAACAAAATGGCAAAAGTCTCTTACCGACAGTATACCCACTCGCACCTGAGTGAATTAATTGCCTCTGTTTTTTTCCACAGAAGAGCGCTGACTTCACCCCACACACCCACTACCTTTTCACAGCTCTTCAGCCAATCACCTGGCAGAGAGCAACAAACTGCCAGGTGACACTTGTTACATTATGTCACTTACGGTATTTATGTGCAAATGTTTAATAACGAAGAACATTAAAACATTCCTGTTGACCACATGTCGGCAAAGTTATGTAACATTAGTGACGTTTGTACTAACTTGGTTTTAAAGCCTTTACTTTAAAATATACGCCGTTCAATAGCTGAGCTTAATCTTACAGCGAATGATCAAAGCTCATGTAGAAACAAACAAACACTTGAACAAATGATTTTCTCCTTCATTTCTGTTAAACAAAGCTGTATGAAACGTTTCCAGCTGTTAGTATCATGGTTGCTAGGCAACCTGGGCAGCGCAACGGAGGCTAGACCGTCCCATTTCACAAGCCTCGCACTTCCGGCCTTAGCGGTCTTTACGTACGTGGCCCTTGAGGATCGTTGAGGCTGTACGTACTTTAAGGCTGCAGACCATGAATTGGGAAACAGCCAGTGTGTCATGGGTAGAGAGGGCGACCGGGAGCAGCGTTCTAATGGGCTACAGCCTATGCAGTGTGTTTTCGAAGTGTGCAGTACTGTTATTATCAGTACTCTCCGGTGCCTCAGCTGATTTCTGTCTGCCTCACTACTCCACAAAAGTGAAGGGAGTTAACCCCGAAGGAGGACAAACTTCGGCCCTGGAGGAAGCATCTCCCCTTGCGTCTCCCGACCACGGTCAGGGGACTGATGGCGAGGAATGGTTAACATAAGCTTTAATGAAAATGAGTTAACACATTAAAAGCTTTGTTTTAGCGACATCTAGTGGCGAAAAATGAAACAGCAAACTAGTGTCCTAATAATCATGTGCTGAGTGTAACTCGGGTTTGTGTGAATGATATACATAAAAAATGTAGAGATTGGGAGAAGGGAGCTGGAGATCGACAGACGGATTGGGGCAGCGGCTGCAGTAATGCGGACGCTGCACCGGTCAGTCGTGGTGAAGAGGGAGCTGAGTGTAAAAGCGAAGCTCTCAATTTACCGGTCGATCTACGTCCCTACCCTCACCTATGGCCACGAGCTGTGGGTAGTGACCGAAAGAACGAGATCGCGGATACAAGCGGCGGAAATGAGCTTCCTCCGAAGGGTGGCTGGCCTCTCCCTTAGAGATAGGGTGAGAAGTTCGGCCATCCGGGAGGGGCTTAGAGTAGAGCAGCTGCTGCTCCACATCGAAAGGAGCCAGCTGAGGTGGTTCGGGCATCTAGCAAGGATGCCCCCTGGGCGCCTCCTGGGTGAGGTGTTCCAGGCATGTCCCACCGGGAGGAGGCCCCGGGGCAGACCCAGGACACGCTGGAGAGATTATATCTCTCGGCTGGCCTGGGAACGCCTTGGTATTCCCCCGGATAAGCTGGAGGAGGTGGCTGGGGAGAGGGAGGTCTGGACCTCTTTGCTTAGGCTGCTACCCCGCGACCCGACCTCGGATAAGCGGATGAAGATGGATGGATGGATGGATGTAGAGATTGGTTAGTTGATTCTTTCAACTTATGTCATGTAGCAGCTGGAAGAAGCTGTGCTTTAGAAAAGAAGCTGTGCTGTGATGGTTTGGTGTGCTTGTGTAACTAGGTCATGGTATAATTATGTACATGTACATGGATGAAGGTCTTCTTTGTTATTTAGCCTCATAAACATACTTGACTGATGTTAACATTAATGTTTAAAAAAAGGCCTTCTGCCTTGGAAAAGACATTTCAATTAGTATGGAAATTTTGGTTAAACTGGTGAAAATATTGCTTTCATACTTTATTCATGTGTAACCTAATATAGTATGGTATGGCCTTAAGGCCAGTTAGCTGCAGTCTATGCAGCCAGTTATTTTCATTTTACATATAAGATAAGATAAGATAAGATAACTCTTTATTGTCATTGCACAGTCATACATAGTACAGTAGTACAATGAAATTGGAAAAACTGTCCTACGTCGGCACTACATATAACACAACACGACACGATATGACACATCACAACGTAACAAACAACACAACACAGTATATTAACTTAGTATAAAAAGAAGAATAAGTGTATGTGTATTGCACACTGTTATTATTGCACATTAATTATTATTGCACCTTGTTATAAATATAAATATTATTGTTATCGTTTTAAACATTGTTACCTCCCCTAAAAGTCCAGGGAGGTATCCAGTCAGGTCAGCTATTTACATTGATCAGGGCTATTGCCCTGTTGTAAAAGCTGTCCTTGAGTCTATTTGTTCGGGACCTCAGCAGCCTGAACCTCCTGCCAGACGGCAGCAGCTTAAACACCCGGTGTCCTGGGTGTGTGCAGTCCCGTAGGATGCTGCGTGCCCTCTTGAGACAGCGAGTGCTGTACAGGTCCTTCAGGGAGGGAAGAGGATGTCCAATGATTTTTTGGGCCATGTTGATGACCCTCTGGAGTGCCTTTCTGTGTGCTGTGGTGCAGCTGGAGAACCACACACCGATGCAATATGTCAGCACACTTTCAATGGAGCAGCGGTAGAAGACGGTCAGCAGCTCCTTCTTCAGGTCCATTTTTCTGAGGATTCTCAGAAAGTGGAGACGCTGTTGGGCCATACAGTGAAATTGTAAATTGAGCCCCTTGTTTTCAAGCCCTCCATTTTGGTCATTAACTGAGCAACTGTAAGAAATATAAAGAGAAAACTTACCAAACATTATTTTAATACAGTGAGTATTTTTGACTTCTTTAAATTTCTTAAGCTAAAACCACAGTGCTTTTGCTGATTCTAGTTAACTAACCCCTGAAACTGGTGAGACCTGTCACCATTTTTTCTGGTTTGGCTAAGAATAGTCTTCTTGTTGTGAGAACATGTTTGCTTTGTGCTTTGTGGTAAAATCTGCCAGCATACACTGAAAGAAGATGGTAGCTTTGTAGCTTTGGGTGTTTCCTTTTCACACACGTGGATATTAATTCTAAACTGGCAGCCTTCTTCTTCAGAGGTGTTAAGAAGAAGAAGAAGAAGAAATGTGAGACCCTACTGCTTTAAAATAAAGTTATCACTTATTCTCTTATTTCACCATTGCTGTAGTATAATATTGCAGTTGTTTTAAAATGTAAGATACACAAGAGGGATCCAGGCACAATCTACCTAACAGAGAGAACTGTAGATGTCAGTTGTGGACAAATTGTCGTCAGACCACAGACCACATTCCAGTATCATGAGGTAGTCATGATTTTGGGAATATTCCACCTTGTAGTGCTGTTTGCACAAATTGTTTTAAAAATGCACTCACACTACAAACATTACTGATGAGTCACGATCTGCACAAAGTGACAGAAACACTGAAGCAGCTCCACATTTTATTCTTATTGTCATGTTTGTCCTATTTATCAGGTGACAGAAGAACCAACACAAAGCTCAGAGAGTAATGGTGACACAAGATCACAGGTGAAGTTGGATGATGACTTGTTGGTTCATGACTGTATTTGAAGCACATGTGTGACTGCATGTATGTGGAATGTCTCACTGTTATTCATCAGGTGACAGAGGCAGCTCTGCCATGTTGTAGCTCGGACAGAGGTGAAGAGGCGAGGTCACAGGTGACTGACTGATGATTTGGTGCTATAGATTAACTAGTATTTATTATCACGACAGTTGTTAAGCTGCTGATGTAAATTGATTCATTAGTGTATGTTTGACAAAGAATCTGAATTGACACGTCTCACTTTTATATGGCACGAATCAATGTGTCATTTTTGTCATGGTCCGGGTGTGTGCCAGTGTGTCTCCCTCCGAGCCGGCGTCTCCACCCTGGGAGGGGCCTCAGTGTTTTTGCTGATCGCTTACATCTGTGGGTAATTAGCTGGGGACTCATAAGGCCAGCGTTCTCAATCTCTCTTCGCCAGATTCTCTGCTAAACATCAGTCAGTGCAGGCCACCACCATAAATTCCCTACGTGTTTTTTTGAATCACCTTGCCTCACTGTATGTTTGTTTTTTGTGCGCCTCCTTTTTCAGCTACACCTAACTGTCAACCCCTGGCGAAGAGCTTCTACTTGGATGCTGGACCTTCTGGCAGTCCCTCAGGCTATTACCAAAATTACCTACCTGCCTCTCTGCCTCCACGCCAGGAGTTTTTGGATTTACACACCCGGACTACTCACCCCTCTATGTCATCTCCGACCTCCGTTGGCAAGTACGCAGTACGAAGGAGGATTCTGAGCCAAACAACATATTCATATGCCTCCTTATTTATGTTTGAACATCTGCATTCTGTTACAGTGACCCCGACCTTTTTCCTGGACCCTTTGTGACTTGCCTTCCAGTCCAATCCCCGGAATAGCTGTCCTCTTTGACCTGGACCGGATCGTTATTTAGTTTAACGTCTACGCTCACCTTTTTGTTTATGAATATTTTGTGTAAACATTAAACATTATTCTTAAAATATATTTACGAGCTGTTCGGCGTCTTGCGTTTGAGTCCTGTCACTCGTCTGAAACGGTCTCGGCTGTAACAGTTTTATCAGGTGGCAATATGACCTAGTGCAGTCAGAGGGGAGGAGCCAGGGCCAAAGGTGAGGCACATCAAGCACATAACAATAATTTTAATCTGAGGATAAAACGCAGGTACAGTGGCTATAAAAAATATACAAACCCATGTTCAAATGCCAGGTTTTTGTCATGTAAAAAATGACAGCAAGTCAAATAGTTCCAAAACTTCTTCCACCTTTATGTGACAATGCACCTGAAAAACAAACAGAAACCTTTAAAGGGGGGAAAATAAAATAAAAAACTTAAAATAACCTGGTTGCACAAATATGCACACCCTTATCAAACTAATACTTTGTAGCAGCACCTTTGCCTTTTATTTAATTAACATATAAAACTACAGGGAGTGCAGAATTATTAGGCAAATGAGTATTTTGTCCACATCATCCTCTTCGTGCATGTTGTCTTACTCCAAGCTGTATAGGCTCGAAAGCCTACTACCAA